CTATGCAAAAGAATTAGGGGAGCACTTTAAAACCTGCAAGTTTTGTCGATATTTAAGATACTGTATCTCCGCTTCCAGAGATCGCAGGACAATTTTTCTGAGTGCGTTTCAAAGAGTGAAACTTCTACCTTGAAACAGTTAATGTGATATTTGCTGTCCCATCGAATGGTCTTTTTCTTCCCCGTGGTGCACATTGGGTATACCGGCGGTACTTATCCAAAATCTTGCAAAATGTAGGGTTCCCTTTGGAACCTGATAACTCAGCTTCTAAGCATACTAAAGTAATGGTCGAGGTCTCATTTTAAAGGAAAAATTTCAGACTTTAAAATATATGTAATAAGATCTTTCGGCCTGTTCGTACTTTGCCCGTGAAAAGTTGGAAATTCGTGAAATTTTCAGAATTTTAACACAACCTGCTTCTGGTCTTCGCGAAAAAACTATTCGATGGGACGGCAAATATCACATTAGTTTCAAAGTAGAAGTTTCACCCTTTGAAACACACCCAGAAAAATTGTCCTGCGATCTCTGAAAGCGGAGATATAGTATCTTATATATTGACAAAATTTGCAGGTTTTAAAGTTCTCCCCTAATTTTTTTGCGTAGTGTATTTCAATATAATGTGTTTACACAGGACTTTGTTCACAATGAATCTGATGAATGTAAAACCTGATCGCGGTTTTTACAAGATATTAATAACTGCGGCTTCGGTCAAGAATACGATTACAGTGAAGATCTTATCTGAAGCAATATTGGACTATTTAGAGATTGGTACTGGTGATGCCGATCAGACAACTCAACCAAAACTTACGAGGTGTTTACATGATTCGTATTATTTTATATATCTACTAAATTATATATTTGTTAACAAGATATTCTATGTTTATTCATTTATGTCTCTTTAATTTTCAGAATAAACACAGAATCTTCCTCAGGCAAGCTCGAACATAAAATAGAAGCTGATTCTCAACAAAAACTAGTCATGCGATTTTTGTTGCGTGATTCTGCCAATAAGAAACCGATGCGTGTGCATCAAGCCTTCGTGCGCCTTACATCCATTTCCACGTTTACTAATAATAAGCGAGGCCATGAAATCTTTTTCGTTGCTGAACCTGATGCTACTCATATTTATAAATTTGATATGGTAATTTTTTATGCTATACAGGGTGTTTCCAAATTAAATGGCAAAACTTCGGGAGCGTGTAGAGGAGTAAAAAACTAAGAAAAAAAGTCCTATAGACATATGCTCGTTTTTGCTCCGTTTCAGAGAAATCGAAAAAAAATGTTTTTTTTACCTGCAAGATTAAATGGGGACCGTTTTCTAAATTTCTTGGAGAATGAATTTTCTGACTATTTAGAAAACATCCCATTACAACAACGTACTGAAATGTGGTTTCAATTAGATGGATGCCCTGCTCATTACAGCAGAGTCGCTAGAACCTGGTTAGATAGAAAATTCCCACAACGATGGATTGGACGTGGAGGAGCAGTACATTGGGCAACTCGTTCGCCCGACTTAACGCCATTAGATTTCTATGCATGGGGTACTCTGAAGCAAGAAGTTTATTCTTCGCCTATTCAATCAGAGCAACATTTGAGAAATCGTATCGTAGCTGCAGCGAACAGAATATCGCAAGAACAGTGCCTGGCTGCTACAAGAGCCGTGTTTGACAGATGCAATGCTTGTATTGCTGCAAGAGGTGCACATTTCGAACAAAAT